AGTATGTTTGATTTCAAATGTGTGTTAGCTGCTTCTAGAATTTTGTTTTTATACTGCGCATTAGTCTACAGGTTTTATTAGGCTATGGGAATTTTACCGGCTGGATCCTAGGTGGTATGAGTTTAATTTCATAACTAAGAAGACACTTCCTACTGCCAGCTAGTTATTAGGATTTAAGCTGACACATGTGCCTAATTCCACAACTAGAAATAAAGATCTTATCGGTTTCTATAAGCTACAGACTCACCTTTGAAGAGAAATCAACTCTTATAAGATATGCTTGATATCCCACTCTTAGATGGGGAGGGAGCAACAACAATTAAAATATATTATTGGAGATGGAACTGATATTATGTTGGCACTTCTTATCAACGTTATACACCTATGGATGATTGTTTAGTTAGGCAACTTTTTATGAGCTTTCATGGAAGTAATAGATATAACAATTGAATATGATACTTAGTTAAATTGGAGAATGCATTATTCCACAGCAGACACTTGTAAGTCCTAATATTTCCATTGACCATTCACATGAGGCATGGTTGATCTTTTATGTCACTCATGTTTGAGGAATCAACCCTAACGCTCTGAATATTTTCTTATTAGCTGTGTACTGTGTTTGACATGCTTGACTTTATGAAAAAAATGGTTGCTTGATCACTTAGTTGTCATCCAATAGGAGAGACTGTGCATGAAGACGACTTCTGTTAAAAATATGATTTATAAGCGTGTTTTCATAGCATGGCTATGATCTCGATATCGATATCCCGATATGAGATTTTTCCTTGGCTATTACTACTATAGCATCGACTAGACGATGCACCCATCTTGATTAGACATGTTCTGGGTCACGGTTATTTTCATAGTTTTACAGAAGTCGTTCCACGGTAACTCTGTGGTTAGTGCACAACATTTCATGCACAGTCATTTAAAATTTAATCGACAAACATGGGGTTATAAAGGGGAATTAGACGAAGAATATAACATGTATATAAACGGGCATATGCGCATACCTGATATCCTGAGTTATATATACATGGGCCAAAGAGCCAATTCCTGACTTGAAGCCGTGTTCCCGGGACGGTTTACGGGGAACCGATTTATATACATGAAAATATTCTTCTCTAATTCAAATAACACATGTAAAATAAGAATAATGTGTTTATATGCTTTGTGATAGATTTGGCATGCACGGTATGACCTGGATAAAGTATGGGTGATGTATATTTATATTATTTGTGTATAGAATTTTAGGAGTTAATATTTAGAGATTTATAATTTGAGATATATGGTATATACGAGGGTTTCCTTGTTTGGATTATTCCCTCGACGTACTCATCTCGTGTTTAGGTTTCTAAATCTTAACTCTTTTTAGTATAGGGTATAAGATATGTGTTTTGTGGTAGACCTTATTTGATATCCATGTTTAGAAATTTCCCTTATCATTCTTTAATTGAGTTTCTATCTTTTCTTTATACCTTCCACATACACTTATACACGCACAATTTTCCTCATTTTACATGCTTGCTGGGAGTTTTCTGACTCCCCTGGGGTTTGTATGCCCCAGACTCGGGAACTGTTCTTTCTTCGCAGGACCAAGAGTATCTTAAGGATTAAGACCAGCAGTAGTGAACACCTTCTCTCCCTTCAGTCTCTCAGCTTCAGTTATTTAGGTTTTCTTGTAATCACTTGTGATACTTCAGACTAAGATGTATTTTCCTCTTACCTACATTGAATGGTTGTGGACATGTAAGAGAACTTGTATTTTCAGAGATGTCTTATCTATCTATTGTCCTTGTTAACTTAGTTACATGCTCTATGTAGTAGTTTTTTTAGTATAATATTTGTATACAGGATGATCCAGAGGCGTGAATGTGACCGTAAGGTTACATTGCCGGCCGAGTCACGTCCCACATTATCACGTTTTGGAACCGGGGCGTGACAACTGAGGTGTCGACTTATGTTCTGGGATAGAGGCTTAGGGCTAGGGCTGAGTACTCAACTTAATTGGTAGCAGGGAATGTCCTTCCATTTGTTTCTGAGAATTTCCCAGTGAGTGGTCGAGTACCCTAAGTAGGGTCACCCTTGATGATAGGGTCTACCACCTTTCACGTCGACTCAGGAGTATCGGCATGTTCGACTGGTTAGAATGTCATCTCGTCTCAGCTAATAACTGTCTCTCGAGTCGATATAGAGATGTCGACTCGTCTGGGAGGTCAGGATCCATCGTGCCGACCAATATCGCCTTTGGTGTGGACACTAGAGAGTCAGCTTGATGAGTCGGGTGGACCGAGGCCTCTGTGATTATGCCTTGGGTTTATCCCTGATAAGGTACGAATGTCTTGTAATTAGCAGAGGCGCCTTTGAACCGGAACATCCGGTTCCATAGAACAGGGCCCCACACTTAGGGGGGCCCCCAATTCCAAATCGCACAGGTATAACCCAGTCCCAATTCGAAAATAGCCCAAAATTAAAAAGGCTCCTCTCCTGCGAGCGGACAGAAACAAGGGCGACGGCGAAATTTAGGGTTTTTCCTTTCTTCTTCCTCTTCAAGCACTGAACTGAAGCACATCCCCTCTTGCCTCTTGATTCAGGTAAACCCCACTCTTTAGCTTGTCTCAATGTCTTTTGTGTTTGATTCCATGATCCATCCGCCAAAACCCTAAAGTTTCAGATTATTGGGTTCGATGTTTTGGGTCTCCTCTTGATTTGATTTTGGGGTTGTTTTAGGGATGATTGACCATGCGTTGAACATTTACGAAATCAAAGGCTAGAATTGATCACCTTTGGGTGCTGTCTGCTTGTGTAATTTATAGTTTTCAAAGGCGCCTCTGATCTTGGACGATTTCTACTTTCTAGCTAATTTTCCAATCTGGGTTTTGTTTGATTTTGTCAAAAATAAAATGGGTCTGTCTCGGTATACTATTTCTTCCCAGTAGTATATGCTACCATAAAGGTCCTTTCATCATCCGAAAGCACCATCCCTCTGGCCTCTACCCGTGTCTATTTACTTAGGATCTAATTTAGCCACATGGCATAGTCCATGGATAGAGTTGCATTGCACCATTTTCATTCCCATCCATGGATTCTTGAATGAATAGCAGATATCTCCCCTCTTTTCAATTGTTGAGACTTTTATCCTACTGAATTCCTGTTTCGAGCATTCATTTTTATTTGTAAAGATTAAAATGAACACTCAAAAAGATCCAGTTAACTGTTATGTTCTCCATCAGCGTATATACTCTTTTGCAAATCTATTTTAATGATAATCAACCTGTTACCTATTGTTATATTTTTCATACGTATGAATCATGATATTTTCAATGCTATTGTAGGAACTTGAAGGATCTTCTTCTCGAGGGAACGCTCACACCGAAGCTTGGGAATCTTATACATTTGAAGTCTCTGTAAGTTGATACTAGTAGTAGTTCAAACACTACGCCTCATATTAAACAAGATGATTTTATTCAAGCACCCACTGTTTGTGGAATGCTTCTAGAGTCGTCTAGAGTATATATCCCTAATTTCAATTTGGTTGTTTTGTTGAATTTGATTATGGTTAACATTTATCAAATTGATTTTTCAAATTTGGTTGTTTTGTTGATTGTTTCCTATTTTATTATTTTTTTGTTCAAGATTGGAAATAATGCCACCTAGAAAGTACAAATCTGGAAGCTTGAAGAGGAAACAAAAAAAGGAGGAGGAACAATTGACTCAATCACAACAAGGTGCTCTTGACAGGTTCTTTGTCAGAGAATGTCCAACTATTTCAACTGACGATTTAGTTGATGAAGACGATGATAATGATAATGAGGAATTGATTGAAGATGAGGGACTTGATGAAAATCACAGTGATGATCCAAGTCCTAATGAGAATGATGGCAATGTAGATGTTGATGGTATGAATCACAATGAGGATGGTGACACCGAATCTGATGAAGAAGGGCTTAATGAGAATTTGGATGCAGTTCTAAATGACTTAGTTGAGGAACCAAGTGAGCAAGTTCCAGAAGGGCTTAATGAGAATTTGGATGCAGTTCTAAATGACTTAGTTGAGGAACCAAGTGAGCAAGTTCCGACGAACCTTTATGATCCTAGAGTTTGGGATAGTCTGGATGATAAATGGAGAGATCTGTTAGCTGTAAAAGGTCCTGTAAGAGACTTGTCGATAAAAAAAGGTCCTAAAGATAGATTGAATAAACGCTTTACTTCAGGATTATACACTCGACACATACATAATGGAGAGATATATGATAGGATATGGCTTGTATACTGTAAGGAGATTGATAAAGCATTTTGTTTTTGTTGTAAGTTGTTTAAGAAAAAGCCTATGATAACTCAGCTAGCAAATGAAGGATATAATGATTGGTCACATGTGGGTGTGCGGCTTAATGAACATGAAGTTAGTAAGGCGCATATTCATAACATGGCTGCTTGGATTGAGTTGCAGCTTAGATTGGAAAAGGGTCAGACAATTGACAAATCTTTCCAAGATCATATCATGAAAGAGAAGGAGCATTGGAGAAAACTGTTACGAAGGTTGATTTCAATTGTGAAATATCTTGCTAAATACAATTTGGCTTTTCGGGGCAAAAATCAGAGGATTGATAAAGAAAACAATGGAAATTTTTTGGGATTAGTTCAGATGGTGGCAGAGCATGATAAAGTGATGGAGGAACATCTTCGTCGCATTCAAAATAAGCAGATCCGTTATCATTATCTAAGTAATGTTATCCAAAATGAGTTGATACTCATGATATCTTCTGAAATCCGAGGTGCAATCATATCTCGGGTTAGAGAAAGTAAATACTTTTCTGTTATACTTGATTGTACTCCTGATATTAGTCACCAAGAACAGATGACTCTGGTTTTGAGATGTGTGGATGTCGCTGCTAACATATATGATAATGGATCAAATATGAAAGGGCATAAGCAAGGTGTACAGAGTAGACTTCTGGATATTAATCCAAGAGAATTTTACACTTGATAATGAATCAAATATGAAAGGGCATAAGCAAGGTGTACAGAGTAGACTTCTGGATATTAATCCAAGAGCATTTTACACTCCATGTGCTTGTCATAGCCTTAACTTAACCCTTTGTGATATAGCAAACTGTAACGTCAAAGCTCAGGATTTCTTTGGAGTAGTACAACGAATTTATTCCTTGTTCGCAAATTCTACAAAACATTGGAAGATTTTGATGGATAATCTTATAGGAGTTACTCTCAAGCCATTATCGACCACACGTTGGGAAAGTCGTGTTGAAAGTGTTAAGGCAATTCAATCACAACCACTACAGATCAGACAAGCTTTACTTCGATTAGCAGAAAATGACAAAGACACAAAAATAAGAAGTGAAGCTAAATCTTTAGCAAAGTACGAGCTTGGGGATTTTGTGTTTTTATTAGGCATGACTATTTGGTATAAGATATTGGTCACTGTTAACAAGGTTAGTAAGCGTTTGCAAGAGAAAGACATTCCAATTGATGTTGCTATAGAATTAGTAAATGGCTTGATTGTTTCTTTCAGAAAGTATAGAGAAACTGGGTTTGCAGAGGCCATGATTACTGCCAAAACACTTGCTGCTGATTTGGAAGTTGATCCAGTATTTCCTGAGAAGCGACAAATCTTTAGAAAAAGATATTTTGATGAGGTTGGAGCTCAGTCATCAGAGTTAACTCAGCAGTCGGGTGAGGAAAATTTCAGAGTTCATTATTTTCTATTACTGGTTGATCAAATTATTGGTTCATTAGAGAGAAGATTTGAACAGTATCAGACATACGAGAATATTTTTGGGTTTTTATTTAGACCGGAAAAGTTATGTGCATATCATAATGATGATTTAAAAGCTTGTTGTGCTAATCTTGCAAACATTCTTAAGAAAGGAAGTTGTTCTGATGTTGATGGAGATGAATTATTCGCAGAGTTGCTAATCTTACAAAATATGTTGCCATCAGAAAATATGAAAGCCATTGACGTATTGAATTTCTTGAAGAGGATGAATTGTTTCCCAGCCGCTAGTATTGCATATAGAATCTTGTTAACTATACCTGTCACGGTTGCATCAGCAGAAAGGAGTTTCTCAAAGTTAAAGATATTAAAATCATACTTGAGATCAACCATGTCGCAGGAGAGGCTAAACGGACTGGCTTTGCTCTCAGTTGAAAGTGGATTCTTAGACAAGATTGATTATGAAGATTTGATTGATGACTTTGCAACAAAAAATGCAAGGAGAAAAGTTTTCCAGTGAAGTTTTTGATGTCGGACATGTCACGATTATTAGTAAGATGTTGATTTTGTGTATCTTTTTTTACTATTAATATTTTGCACGTAATATGTTTTGCATAGAATCATTGTTATGTCTTAATGTTTATTTTAATTCTAGATATAAAAATTTCTCTCCATGGTTAGTACTATGTATAAAACAATTATTAATTTTTTCTGAAGATTGATTAAGATGCCCCGATTAAAATTTAGAACAGGGCCCCCAAATTGTCAGCCACGCCTCTGGTAATTAGCCATGATGGTCGAGTTTTACTGGAGGATTCGTCCATATGTCAAGATTTCAAAAAATTCATTATATGTCCTTAATAATTAATTGCACATTGAAACTAGTTAGAAGGATAAATTTGGAAAGATCTAAAAATACCTTAACTACTATCCACTACTTAATAACTCCCCACACTCCCCATATTTTCTAATAATAAGATTAGTTCACCAATATACTCGATACCTACATGACATATTTAACTTGTGTTAATTTTTTTAAAGAATTTAATAATAAAATATTAATGTGAATAGGTTTTTAAAAAATTATAATCAAAAGTGATACAAAGGATCTTATTATTAGAAAAAGTGGAGAGTAAGGGGAGTTATCAAATAGTGGATGATAGTTAGAGTATTATAGTTAGATCTTTCTAATTTTATCCTTCTGATTAGTTTCAATGTACAATAAATTGTAAAGGATATATGTTGAATTTTTTAAAATCTTGACACACTTAAGGACAGAATCAAAAGAGTGACTTTCTTTAAAAAATAGTAATAGATAATTTATATCATTTTTAGCAATAATTTTCTAAAAAAGTTTTCATATTAGCAAAAACTGTTGATTGGTTCGATTGGTAGCCTAATTTTGCCAAACCAAACCAAATTATACACTATTCAAAATTGAACTAAACGCCCCATGTCAATTTGTTCGGCTTTGACTTGAGTACAAATTTCAAAATAGCAAGTCTGTCAATGAAGAGTGAAATTTATTTTCTGAGGATGGAGGCACTGTTTATTGACTGACAAGGAAGCATGAGTTATTTCCTATAACATTTCTGTAACATTTAGATGAACCTATGTGAAAAAGAGAACAAAATTGAGTTCTTTGATTTTTCCCCCCCCCCCATAACTTTTGAAGATTCTAGGGTTTCATTAGAATTCAACTGAAAATTTTTGATTGTTTTGATTGTTGAATGCATAAAATCAAAATTAGGGTTTTCAGTACAGTTTACTAGCATTCAACAAGAATTAAATCAATCTCAATCAATCAAAGTAAGTAAAAAAACATACAATAATTGGGTTACTCAGTACAGTTTATTAACATGCTTAACGGGGAAGTTTGAATATTTTTGCTCATTGAATGCAAAGAATCAAAATTAGGGTTTTTAGTTAATACCTCGGCCGTGGGTGTCTCCAAAAGTAGGGGTGGCAATTTATGACCCGACCCATTAACCCGACCCGACCCGACCCATTTATAATGGGTACGGGTCAAATTATATGGGTCGGGTCATAAACGGGTCAACCCAAATTTACCCATTTATTAAATGGGTCAATTCGGGTTGACCTATTGACCCGTATAACAAAAATCCCGACCCGTGTAACAATCTTCGTTCCCTCACTCCCTCGACCCTCGTAAGCGCCGCTCTAGAGAAAGAAAAAAAAGAAAAGCTGCAGAAGAAAGAAAAACCCTAGATCCTCACGAAGCTCAAGCGACGAGCGGCCTAGATCCCATCACGAAGCTCGAGCGGTGAGCGGCTAACGGCGAGCGGCGGCAAGCGACAGCGAGCGGCGGCAAACGGCGAGCGGCAGTGATCGGCGAGCGGCAGCGATCCTCGAACCATAGTTCCTCTCTCTCCTATTGACCCGTATAACAAAAATCCCGACCCGTGTAACAAACTTCGTTCCCTCACTCTCTCTTAAGTGCGCCGCTCTGGAGAAAGAAAAAAAAAAGAAAAGCTGCAGAAGAAAAGAAAAACCCTAGATCCTCACGAAGCTCAAGCGACGAGCGGCCTAGATCCCATCACGAAGCTCGAGTGGTGAGCGGCTAACGGCGAGCGACGGCAAGCAACAGCGAGCGGCGGCAAACGGCGAGCGACAGTGATCGGCGAGCGGCAGTGATCGGCGAGCGGCAGCGATCCTCGAACCCTAGATCCTCTCTCTCCTCTTGAGCGCCACTGTCTCTCAGATCAACTTCAGGTAATTTTTTTTTTATTTTTTCGGTTTTTTTTTTACTGATTTGATCTAACTTCAGGTGATATTGTCGATGCGTTTATTTAGTCCTTTTTTTTCCCAATCAAATTTAAGATGATGACCTTTGAAGCCTTAGGTATTCATTTATTTATTTATATTTTTATTGTTTCTGGCATATGGTGGATTAGTTCTATTTTGAATTTCCTTTTTTTTTCTCTGCATTAATCGTGTAATATCACATTCCCAGTGATTTTCGTATTTAGCGGATTTAGATTTATTTTTGAACTTCATGTTAGGATACAGCAATTACTCTATGTCGCACTTTTCTATGATATATTCTCTCTAATAAGTAATCAAATGCATATCATTGATTGGATGATCATATTCAGCAGATGGGATTAAGAAAAGTTAATCACATGTTGCAGTACTGTAAATGTTAATCATTTGGGCATATATAGAAAATTTAATTAAACATATGTGTTATTGTATCTCATGGGATTCAGAAACTTCTACTCGAAACAAGATTTTTCACTTTCCATAATGTATCCTCTCATAGCTTGTTTCTTCTAATTTCTCTGTGAATATGCCTACTTGGTCAAATACAAACTGCAGGTCAGCAGTAGTTGAAATATTTTTTAAGTATAAAGTTGCATGTATCTGTGGTCTCCAAGCTCACTTGTTCTGCTGGTCATGAGAAGTTGCATGTATCTGTGGTCTGCATCCCCTCCCCCCAATACATGAACATCAAGGTTACATTTATTTTCCAAGCCCACTTGTTCTACTCGTCATGAGAAGTTGCATGTATCTGTGGTCTGCACCCCCCCCCTCTGATAATAAGTGGTATAAATGATGTCTTTTTCTTCTGTAGTGGACCTGGGACTTAGTTTCTCTAACTTACCTAGTAGCACTTAGAAAATTCACTGCAATTACCTAGTATGAATCTCTCATACTATGATGCGGTAGCTGAAGGTAAGAACCTACTAGCTGTTTTAACTTGTAATGCATGTCGTTTTAACTTGGGCATCAAGAGAGGTTTTGCTCTTTATTTTATATATCATGCTAGTTTTGTGACAAATACAGAAAACATTCATCTGAAAATGCAACATTTGCTGATTGATGCTTACATCATTGTCATGAAATAATTCCAATAATCAACAAACACCTTGCCTTCTCCAAATATGGCCATCAAACGATACACAAGATTGCTACTGTGGAGTGGGGCTGAAAGTTTAACAAAGAGAAGGCAATCTTTTTAGGGATTATAAAGCTAGCAACATTATCTTTTGCTTCTCTAGTCACCAATCAACTCTCTTTCATTAAAGAGGAGAACAGCAAAAAAGTGAGAGAGATCAAAGGGATCCCTATGTTTGTGGACTGTGTTAATAATGCATAGAGAGGCTTGTTATTTCCTTAGTATATATCTCAGCAGGTCATCCACTATGTAGCCTAGGAATAGAGATTAATTTTCATGGAACTTGTGTTTATTTAAGTTATTGGGGGAAAAGGTATGTATATTTTAAGGAATCTATTGAGAGAAAGATCACGCAGTACCGCTATATATAGTACGAAATACGAGATAATAAGTAAACTACAAATACAAATATACTAAACTGAGTAACTTATTCCTTCACATTTAATTGTAATCTATACTCTTATAAGAATTTTCTGGTTTTCATTGGCTCCTCAATTTAGATTTTCAGGTCAGGTCAAATTTACTAGATACATTTTTTTATTTAATTTGTTACCCATACTTGCATCTAGATTTTGAATATCTTCATGATTTGAAATTTTGAATAGAGGTGAGCGAACTTTCGTATATAGTCAAGAGTATTAACAGGTAAGTTACAACCTTGTTGGACTCATTTAATGAGTGTGCTTGTCACTATGTCATGGCTGCAGAAATAATTTGGTAATGTCTCGAATTCAACTTTTTTTGATTATTTATTCGGATAATAGGTGAGGTTGGGTGTTCGTAATGCTGCTTTTGTGGATTAATATCAGTATCTTTGATCTGATGTGTATGACTATTGGATTTCCATTCATGTTGGTTTTTTTAAAGGTGAGGTTTTTTAAGGTGAGGTTTTAACCTTTTGGATTCAAGAGGTGGGTTTCTCTGGTACGGATGTTTTGTACATGATACATTGTAAATTTTTTTGGGCTAAATTATCAAATTGGCATTTTGGCAGGAGTCTATTCAAATTATGGTAATTGTTCTTTCACAAGTGATATTATGGTATTAATATTGAGACTAATACCAATCTATTAAAATCCTGTTGCTTTTTTCTGTGTGCAGGCCACATTTGATTGCCTCATGAAGACTTATGGGTTCCTGGCACCAGACTGCAAAGAGTACATGAATATACTGCAAAGAGTTAAAGAAGAGAGGGAACTAAAATAAATGCGGAAAAGAAGGATAACTACATGCTATATTATTGTATAATGTCTACATATGTTTTCCTTTACTGCTCTTCATTGCTTGTATTGGATGTGATGCTGTATGCAGGCATCATCAGATTAATGTTTGTGTTGTGAGATTTTTCTGTTCTTTTTTAAGCCTGTAAAATCTTAGGTGCTATTGTTCTTACTGGCTCTGTTCTGCCTCTGTACTTCTGATATATAGGCCTTGGCTTGAATCACATAGATTTGGAAATGTATATAATTTGAATTAGTCTGGGTGGCAAATTATGCAAGTCCTAGTGTTTACGCATAAACTCCAGCAGATTGATAGCTTGCGGTGCTGACCGAGCTTGTGTGTTGATACAGAGTAAAGCAGTGTGATGTATTTCCTCAAAAGTTTAGAGAATTGTGATTCGTTGGTAATTCGATTTTCTGACAATTAATTTACATTTACTAATTAATTTGCTTATATACTCTCACAAAATATTCAAATATGTTTCATCTGTTTGCGCATCTATATCTATCGGTACAGAGCTTGCACAAGTTGTTAAGGAGAAAGGTGACATGATACAAATAGCTCAATCTGTGAGATTCCTATATACAAAATCTGCAAAATGTTTCTATGTAATCATCCGAAAATTTGAATCGGTCATTCGGATTTATAGACTTGATTATTCAAGTAAGTGGAAAAAAACCATAAGTTATTAAACGGGTCATTTGGGTTATATGGGTCGGGTCGGGTAACCTGTTTAATAAATGGGTCGGATCGCATTGACCCATTTATTAAACGGGTCGGGTCGGGTCACACTTATATGGGTCGGGTCAACTATGACCCGACCCGACCCGACCCGACCCGTTTGCCACCCCTGGACCAAAAGTAGGTGATTGATCTTGAGGAGTTGGTTCATCCATGATGAAGGAAAACATAGATGTTAGAATTTTATGGAGATTTTTGCTTGGAGAGGTTCTAGATGGTAATGATGATGAGGCAGAGAGGCGGCAAGTCAATGGAGGTACAAAAGCAATGAGTCGAGAGTGGTGAAGAGTTGATAGTGATAGTGATAAATTGCTGGTCCTAGACAGTTGACGTAGTGTGAGAGGGAAAAAAAAGATATGAAACATTGTCAGTATTCTATATGAATTATGAATGGGTATGGGTTTTAATAGATGTCAAACTACAGGTTGTGTTTAAGTACCATGGTCTGTTTGGGAACCGAGCTAGCTTTAAAACTGACCGTATTTGCTAACTTTTTGGCCGGTCTAATCGAATATTTTGGTTTCAACTAAATCATGCTCAACCCTAGTGTAATTGCTATATGGGTCAGGCCAGGTTAGGCTACATTTATAGACTCTAATGGCTATAAACATCTAGAAAAAAGCCCAGCTGAGTCAGGCAGCCCGACAGACCCCAAACAACTACTTTAGGATCAAATACCACCAAAAGTGAGGGTACCTTGGTCATTTGAATAGGGGACTAACAGGGGGGGTATATTTGGTTCCTCATCCAAAAATCATCTTCTTCACTCTAATGATCTCTTACACTCTCTTGGGGGTGGGGTGGGGTGGGGTGGGGGGGGTGCCTCATCCAAAAATCATCTTCTTCACTCTAATGATCTCTTACACTCTCTTGTATCTCTTCCAACTCTCTACTTCTTAGTTCTAATAGCTCCCTCCTCTAATTTTGATCTCTTCGCTCATAACACCTCCAACTTATAAAAGGGAAAGATCGAAAGTGCAGTCTTTCTTTGAAGATATTATAATTAAAGATAATAACAAAAGGGAAAGATCGATAGTGAAGTCTTTCTTCGAGGATGTTGTAATCAAAGATAATAACAGTCATTTTATCAACAAAAGGCAAAATATTTGGTACCCGACAAGATTTTTGAAGCTAGACATCACATGGGACTAACCACCTTAGACGTTGTATGTAAAACCACAACAAAGTGCAAGGACCATCCCAATTCGACATCCACCAATCTCTTCTCTACCAATCATCTTCCTCAAGTAGCCTCGGTGCATTAAAGTATGACATAATATAAGAGGTAGGAAATGTATCATCAGGTTTATTGTGTGTAAAAAAAATTTGTTTTAAAATCATAGAAGATGATGAAATTAAAGATATGATTAAGGAGGGTATATGTACCACTTTTCAAAAAAAATTTCTTGCCAAACTTATAAACATGAAATTATGAAATATTATCTAGAGGAAAGAATAAAAATAATTTCTTATTTTCAAAGCTTAAATTGACAATTTTCTTTGACTTTTGATATTTGCACGTCTAAAGCACGAACTACTTATTTATGCTTTTTTGAGAAAAATACGCATTTGGCTCACATAACAACAACACTAACAATAAGAACTACTGCTCCTCTGGTGCATATGAGAATTGAACATAAACTTCCCCATGGGAGGAGCAACATGTCTTTACCATGTGACCTACTGGGCACCCCAAACTGGTTATTTATGTATCACATCACATTGGATTAATAACACTTGGAAAATATTTAAAAGAGTTATTTTATTTATTTCAATTGAAGAATCACATACTAATGAAAGTGTTTTAAATTTATTACTAGAATAACTTTCAAGTTTAGAAATTTCTAAAATATATTTACTCTTTCACTGGATAATGCATTGTAGAGCATATCAAAACATCTTTGTTATTGCCATGTCATGCTGAATTTTTTTAATATTAGATGCATGTCTCTATTTTGAATTTAATTGTGCAAAGTGTATTTAATGAAATTAAGCTAATGATACGAAAAGTTAGGGTTGTAACTTATTTCATAATGGCTTTGAAAATAGGATTAAGAAATGTTAACAACTTTGTAAAAGAAAAAGTGTGAAAGCTAGAAAAATTCCACAACATGTTGATCATAGGTGAAATTCCAACTATTTAATATTAAATGTAGCAATAGAGTATGGAAAAATTAGAAACAATTTTACTTGTTCGTGTACTTCTAGCTCTTCATCTAGTTCTTCTTCCTCTATAGTAGGAATACTTGATAGTGAATAGACGACTATAACTTATGTAAAGTAAATGCTACATGTATTTTTTGAAGCTACTATTTTTTTATCTAGTTGTTATTACTCGACTATTAATCATGCTACTTTTCAAGTTTTTTATATTCAAACCTTTTAATACTTATCACATGGATGATTATTTTTTCACAAAATGATTTGCTTAATGGAAAATAAATTTAATAAGTAGTTTAGATCCGTTCCTATTATTTTTGGTTTTGGCATTCTCATTGATCCATGCTTGAAGGATCTTGGTCTTAAAAATTTATTGAATTCTTTACATAAATAATCAAAACATAATAAAATATTATTTTCAAAGATATTTAAAAAGTATAATGCTAGATATTGTGAAAGATCTCAAACTCCAACTCCCACAAGCTCTAGTTCGAGTAAAAGTGTGGTTTTTGATAGGGGAATAAATAGATATCTAAGTTGCAAGTGTATAACTATCAAGTTATAGTATAAAAGATTGTTATAAGAATTAATCAAAATTGGTTCTTAAGTTGTGTGTGTGACAATTTATGAGTGATGAAAGAATGTGATTGTTAAGAGATAAAGAGAGTGAATTTGACTCTGTGTAAATAAAAACAAAACTAGATTAAAAATGGAGAAAGAAAGATGAAAAAAATAAAGGAAAACTAAACCAAGAAGCAAATAAGAGAAAAAGTAAGAATAAAGAGGTAAATCAAAAAAGCAAAAGATGGAGGATTCAATTAGAGATATGAGAAATCTAGAATTAAAGTTACTAGTTAATTTCACATAGAAATTATGAACTATTCTCTTTTATCACATTTTACTTAAGATTTATTATGTATAGACTATCAAACTACTTACGAAAAGCATAACCTATCAAATTATCATCCAAGTAAAATTAACATTCATGAAAAAAATAATAACTAGATATTAATTCTAGAATTCATAGGCATAACCTATCAAACCACTCAATATAAGTGTCAATTATTAAATTCTTCTTTTACCAATTAGTTTTCTAGTTGATTATCCTAAACATGATCATTTTAAGCACAAGAGAATAATTCACAACTTGTAAAAGAAATCAAACTATTTTCATATAATTCTAGAATTCCGACAAGAATTAGTTTCACACCTTAGAAAATAAAGAAATAAAATCTATACTAGAGAGAATAAAAGGAAGAGAATAAAAATAAAAACTAATTCTCAAGAGGGCTCTAGCCTCTTGAAGAATAAAAGGAAAAGAATGAATTAAAACTAATTACAAAGAGGGTTCTAGCCTTTTGAAAATAATGCAAGAAAATAAAATCTAAACTATGCAAGAAAATAAATCTATACTAAAAAAATAAAGACATGAACATAAATCTACTCTACAAGGCATCAAAATAAATCTAAAATAAGAAGATTCTAGCACCTTGAATATTTAAAACAAGAAAAGAAAATATTATAAGAAAGTAAAAGATAAAAGAAAAAAATTATGTTGCTAGAGGGTTCTAGCCTCTTGAAAGTAAACCTTCATCTTCATCTTCATCTTCATCATCAAACAAAGAGAAAAAAATATGAAGAGGTAAAAAAATATTTTATTAATTGTAACAAATTTATAATTTTAAAAGGTCTTCTCAATTAAGAGTAACAATCTTCTCCAAATAGAGTTAATACAAAATTTCTTACACTCAAACCCCTCACCCTTTACCTCTATTTATAGCCTACAACAAGTAATAAGAAGCATTGGATTTTACTTGGGCTCCAAGGATTAAATCTTAGTCATAAAATAAGTTTATTAGAATAATTAGTCGGTCAATCGATTGACCAATTGGTTAACCAACTGATTAGAATTCCAAATTTCTAAATACATAGTTAGCTCTATCTCGTCAAGATAGGTAATTTTTATATATTATATATTAAATTCTGCTTTTTGGATTGAGAGATATCATCATTTCTTTGTGACGGATCATCTTGGACAAGATTTTAACTTGATTTCGTTTCATATTGAATCCTTGGTTCTTCGGC